TCAGTAATATCGGTAAAGCCGTTCTTGAGTTATAAATAGTGTAACTAACACGACTTTCATTTATATATATGATAGATGTAAAGATTTATTCCCGACTGACATCAGGGAAGGGATGTATATGGGTTTGTTTGTATGTAATGAGTGAGATGTTCGATTCGTTTGTTTCCTGGGAGTGTTTAGTGGGGACTTTAAAGCAAATTAGTATTATTTAGTAAGTAGAAGTAATAGTATTCGTATGTATGTACGTATATTCAATAAACTAATACAGTCATTAGAGTAATATTACTTCTTACTAATATTATAAATTTGAATCTTTACGTGCATGTTTGTTTGAAGGTATCTCCGGAAGGGCTGTATGGATCTCAGTGAAATTTGGCATAGTTGTAGAACATAGTCGGGAAGAACGCATAGGCTACTTATTAAGTTTTTTTTTAATTCCGCCCGGACGGAATCGCGGACGACAGTTAGTATTATACTACCAAGACAGTTATCTTAATACATAGGTTTTCTCGAAGACAATGTAAGAAATGAAACATGTTTAAAGAGTCTGTGCAGTGCAGTTTTTCCGATTTATGTACTTAATTTTGAGTAACAAATTTATCAATGTCGCTCAAGTGTTGAATACTGAGTGAAATCGATAATTTAAATATATATGTTACATCGTAAACAGGGAAGATTTTAGTGTGCTAATAAATTTTGGAGGTTGTTCGCGGATTGAAATTCAGATTACGAAGCTGGCAAAAAATCGTATTATAGGTCACACAATAACACTGTTCCCGAAACCCGCAAACAAAGTTGCATAATCGATGAAATGACATACTAAAGTTTTTGTCAGAATCTTCTGGATTGCTCAATGTTTTTTTTATTAGTTTTTATACAATTTTAAAATTAAGTTCGAGAAGAAATTAAGAGCGTCGGTGAGAGTATCGGAGATCGTAAGAGCGTCGGTGGCTCAGGGGGTCAAGCACTTGACTTGCAATCTGCAGGTCCTGGTCCTGCAGGTTCGAATCCCGCCATGTACCAATGTGTTTTTCGATTTACATATGTACATTTATACGACGTTCTTAGGGTGAACGGATTACATCGTGATACAACCTGCACATATCTGAGAAGAAATTCAATGTTATGTGTGAAGTCAACCAACCGGCACTGGGCCAGCCTGGTTGACTATGGCCTAATCACCCTTAACTTAGTCTCCGAGCCCCTCGGTGGGGACGTATAGTGACCTGATGATGATGACGAAAATTAAGTTTTCTTGTCTTTATTAATCAATATTTTCTGCCTGCGACTTTGTGTTAATAAATATAGTCTGTGTTACTTAGTTATTAGTTTTTAGCCGTTTTAAAAAATAATGTTATCAAATGGTCTGTATTTTTGATGTATTAACGCGCTACCTCCGTGGTGTTCCGATTTTTGTAATTGAAAGTTAGTTAAGTTAGTATAAAGGTAGTTTTTGAGTTTAAATCATGACATACATTTTTTTTATTATATAAGTATAGAAGTACATATTAAAGCTTATTTAACTTTAAAACAAACCAGGTTAGGTATTAAATCATCGTACACATTAATATTGTATTGAATAAAATTGTAACAGAATCGTCTGGCCTTGATCGGCCATTCCTTGAATACGTGATAAGGACTTGTCACCGGTATAGCAAATACGTAATGTAAATAAGCAAATTCTATATCAGGCTATATAACCGACAAATATCTTTATATAAACGACATAAAATATTTATACCTACTTTAAAATTATATTGGTCGAAATTCGATTATATTACTTATCTTACTAATATAAATGCGAATGTATAGATTGATGTTTGTTAGAAGGTAACTCTAGAACGGCTACGTTGAGTCGCAGAAATTTGGCATAGATGTAAAACATTGGGAAGAACACATTAGCTATAATACAAATTCAGTTTTTTTCCCCGCGGACGTAGTCGCGCGCTTAAGTTAGTAATTCAAAATAATGTTTTTTTTTTATTTAATAAATGTTAACGGTGTCAAACACGTTTATCAGATCGCACAAATTCCTTTGAAAGGGTTGTTAAGTTTAAGTTGTATTTTCTACATACTATTTACGTATATTTTTCTAAAATTTCCTAATCACAACGTACATTATGAATATTATTAGACTTTAATATAAATATTTCTATAAAAAAATTAGTCACATTAATAATATTTTATTGATGACAGAAAAAAAAAATATTCGTTCACATTTTTTTTTAATGTTGCTCAAGATGTACTTTGATTTAAAAAAATAACATATTATACAAAATTAAACCTTAGCTAGAGTTGTTAGAATACAAAATCCCTTAACCAAATCTTACAAGAATGATAACAAGATCAAGATTAATATCATCTTTAATCACAAGATGTGTCTCGAAACAAAGATATTAATGAAAATGGACTCCATATAAAATGAATTTGCCTTTTGCGTCACTATATAGTAGAAAAGACTTTGCCCGTCTGTTTGTCTTGTGTAAAAAGTCATAAATAAACCAATCCTTATATTTTTCCAAAATTAGCAGTAAATAGCAATAAATAAATGTAAAATTATTATAATTTGGGAAGTGTTTATTACAGATAAACTCAAAAACTACTTACTCAATTTACAACCAATAGAAAGCTCAATCAAGTAGCCTACTCTAACTCAAAAACTACTAAACTTATTTATATTATACTTTATGTTTTTTACAATTTTCGATTTTAAATAGGAGGAAGCAAATTCAATTATTTAACTGTATCAACCTCAACAAAATATCTTGTAGTGAATTGGGTTTACATAATAATGTAGCTTATTATCAGGGGCCTTGTAACATTTCGGCGGTCTACCGGGTCACGCAGCAATCTTATCGACATATATTTATTAATGGGCTAAGACGGCGTATTGAAGAATTTACATAGCGTCTTTATATCGACGTGCACACGAAATTAAAATGTTTCTGAGTGGTTTTACACGTAGAGAATGAATGAAAACCTATATTATACAGCATTGGAGTTGTGATGATTAGATTCGTTCAAATAAACTGAGTCACTTAGAGTAGACTCCTTTGTGTTCCGCTTAGGCGGGAATGAGTCTTATACAGGCTGATGATAAATATTTGAATATGTAATTTCTTAAATAAGTAGAAAATATATGACATGTTTCCAAATCGAATATTTACAAAATCATCTTTTAAAAGCAAATGCGCAATAATAATTTTTAATTTTATTTAAATTTTAAACGGGAATTGGGTATTATTACTAAACATTTTGCATACTAATTTCTTCTAACTAGAAACAAAGGATTAAAATATCTAAATATGATTATTATGACGTACGAATACAAAATTTACATTCAAGTTACTCGCATTTATGAATAAATAATCGAAGAAAAAAACAATGGTTATAATTTAAATGTAAGCATATAATAAAATTTAATCTCACATAATAATTAAAATCACCAAGTAAATGCGAATTAACGGAGAGAAACGATGAATTAAGTCAGATTCATATCGCTCCCGGAAGATGGAGTTAACGAAAAACTTCGCCTCTCGGTAACTACATATTAAATGCGAGATTGAACAAACAATAGGCGTCCTATTCAACCTTTGTGCGACCCGTGCGCATGACCTTGAATGCCAAGGCACATCCGTACTCATCAGACGTAACGTTTGCCGACTTTACAGACTTTCGTTTGACTTACCCAAGCAAACAACCCTTACCAATTAGTATTTCTAATTTCATCTTACTAATATTGTAAATGTGAAAGTACGAATGCATGTCTGTATAATTGTTAGAAGGTATCTCCGGAACGGCTCAATAAATCTTGATGACATTTGGCAAAGATTTAGAACATATTTTGGAAAACTTTTTAAGGTTTTTTTTTAATTCCACGCGGACGGAATCACGGCCGACAGTTAGTTAATTATTAGATGTAGAAATACTAGATATATTAAACTTGATTGACGGTTTTTGATGATAATCTCTTCAATATGTTTGTTATTGATGAATAAAATATGATAAAATAATTTCCAATAACTCTAGTTAGGTATTATAAATTTCTAATAAGACAGAAATATCTTATTCGTTCTAATATGTACGTTTAAGCGATTCCTATAAAGGGTTTTCATGGTATAAGTTCACGTGTTATATAGCCATCTCTGACATTTGCTTTGAGAAAAATGAAACAACAATATTTAATAACTAGCCGCCTATGTGTTCTTCCAGATAATGTTCTACATCTATGTCAAATTTCAACAATATAGATGTAACCGTTCTAGAGATCTTCAAACAAACATCCATCCATGTAAACTTTCGCATTTATATTACTAAGATATTTTGGAGGTGGAATATCACGGTAATACGGTAATTTGTTTTTAGTAATTCATAAGTCAAGTGCTTTGATATGAAAATTACTTGAAGGACAGATACATAGATACAAGTTTAATAGACAAGGAAGTCAATGTTGCGCAAATACTACTCTAATAAGTACTTATAAAGTCAGTGCTGTATTTGGCTGTACATTCGAGTGCTCTCGACATCAAGGAAGAAAAAATTGAAATTCAAATTTGAATGGGTATCAATACGTAATACGAGTCATAAATATAAATATATCAAACTGACAAGAGTTTAGTTGATAAATACACGGAATAAAACGAATATTTATTAAGATATATAATAATTCATAAGATAACTTTTAGGCCGTTAGTACACAAGGCAAAGTAAATCTTCGATACGCAAATTCATTGGCGAAGCGACTCACGCTCAGTGCGTCGCTGACTTCTGTTATAGCCAGACAGTCGCTTGCAACCTCTGTGTCAAGATTGTTGAGAAAAGTTGCTCCAATTTTTTTTAAATGGCGGAGCAAATCTATATGCTGACCTAATAGGCGACGCGCATCGAGGTTCGACGCGAGTCGCATGCTATCGTACGATAATAGTTTCGACGATTTAAGTTACTTTGTGTACAAAAGGTCTAAATATACAATGATATATGAAATAATATTGATATCTAACCTTTTCCTCTGGTATGCTTTGACCGCCATTTTCTGACAATGGTGTAGATGGGGCACTGTATCCTTTAGGACCGTCATCCTGAGGTGTCATTTGCCGATGAACGTCATTCTCTTGGTCGTTGTGCATCCTTATATCTTGTAAGCCATTTTTAAACTCCGACAATCTTAGTACTGATGGTTTTATCTCTGGTATATCATCAGGATGTTCATATCTTCTTAAGTCTGTTAAATTCGTCGCTAGATGTCTATGGTGGTCTAAAGGTGGAGGCACACCTATAGATCTTAAATGTTCTATACTTCTGTGTATATGAGAGTAATTGTCTACTGGTATTTCGGCCATTAATGGCGAATTGTGATAGTCTAAGCCACCGCCATCTGGCCTGTAGTCGATAGTTCTTCCTTCCATCATCTTGTATGGATTATTATTAAAAATTCTATCTAAATTATATAACAGTATCGTATCTAATTGGTATTTGGCACTATCTTATAAAAATATATATTTTCTGTCTTATCCTTCTCGCCAATATTTTATTTGTCATGGAATTTTCGAGATCCTTGATTTTCAATCTGCTGGAAAAAATATGCACCTTAATTTATGTATTTAAAAAATCAAATTAAAAAATAAAATGTTGGAATAAATTCATCGTCGTAAAATGTTTGGACGTCTGTCGAAGTACAATCGTGAAGACAAATTTTTAATTGATTAGTTGTTTGTTAATTTATAACTAGATTTATAGTGTAATAAAAAGCGATAAGTTTTTGTTCGTTTTTTTGCAGTGTCGAAGCTAGCAGGTGACGAGTGTAGATGTAGGCTGTGTCAATGCTCCAGCCCGTAGCCCACATGCCGCGGAGCCCCCACTAATCGAGTCCACGTACAGCCTCAACTAAATTATATTAACGACCCGTGCATAATTATATTATAGTCCACTGTTGGCCTAGGCACAAAATTCTATAAATACCAGTATACACAACATTATGTAAAGTAGAATGAAAAAAATATCGAAGGAAAACTTGAAAATGTTCATTTGTTTTGCATTTATTAAATTATGTGATTTATTTTTAAACCATATCATAATATCAAGGTCGATTATTGATCGAAAAGGAAATAAAATTAATTTTAAATTAATATAATCTCAGAGATGTAAAGTAAAGATTAAAAACATTATTAAGATACTGTTTAAGTCGTATGGATGTAAGTTTATTAAGCTTGGAATATCTTTGCGACTGATAATAAAAGCAATTTATTCCAATTATAATCATAATGAACTTTAGTGACACTCTGACATACTGAGTAAGCTTTCACATCGACACATTGTTTTAAAATTTGCGATCTCGAATATTTTTTTAGAGAAAATGAAAAACAAAACAAAATATGTATTGAGTTAATGTTTCAACAAAATGGACGCTTCGTAAAACACCGATTTCAGTATGATCATATAACTATTTATAGTTATAGTTTTTTTCAAGAAAAATAAAAAAGTATTTATTATAAGATTGTACTTTTGGAGCTAAGTATACATGGCTGTCAAAGATAATAATTGCGCATACAGAATAGACAACAAATTTATTTTGCAGTTGTCTAGGTATTTTTTCTTTCAAAATTGGACCTTACTGCTTATACAATAAGAGTTAAGGTAGATTTCAATGCATGAAAATTACAAAATTTTAATTTGCCGATGGATAACTTGGACCTAACGAATTAAGTTTAAGATAATATGTAAGTACAAGTTTGAGGGAAGTCGTTAAGTTCTTAGTTTTTGTATGCGAAACATATGCTAAGTCTTTAAGGGAAGTATTTTAAATAAAAAAATATATATACTGCCAAATGTCTCAAAAACTTTGCGGTATTAATATTTGTCAGTAATTAATTTGTCCAAATGTAATGCAAATTTTTCTTAGCTTGTTAAATTAAGAATTTTTAATTATTGACAACGTATAGACGTCTATAAATATTAAGAGAATTTTGATTTTGGAATAATTTATTTTTTTGCAACATGTTAATTAATTATACATTTGTACATTTGCATATTATTTATTTGAAAAAATCCTAATATTAATTATATTTAAATTTCTATTTAATTTTGACATATTACATTATTTCAAACCAGTTTTTTCTTTTTAAAGAAATCTATAAAATTATTTAATATTTAATAAATTATCTTTAGTTAAAAAAAAATAAACACCAAACATGTTAGAAGATATTATGTAACTAAAAATTATCCTACAGCTAGTATTGACAAACGATGAGTTCAAAGATGCAAGGGCAAAAGTATAGAAACATTAAAAATAATCTTTAAACGAAGCATCATCACGCACACTGCACGAAAATATTTCCGTATTTATAGACTGGGCATAATTCAAGGTCGACTTTGACAGACGTCCGCCCAGTCGTATCGCAATTACGACATTTATCTTACATGGGAGGAACTTAGTAAAATATCCCCTCCAGGAGTCACTCCTGCGCCCCTAACAAGAAGTCATAGCTTTTAATTAATTAAAAAAAAATCAACATACCTGTTACTATCCTTTTATCTTGAAATTCGCCAACTTTATCACCATAAAAAATCACAGTTTGTTCCTATCTAAATGTCACTAAAAATATATCACATCATAAGGTAACACTAGGCACAACACGTCCGGAAGGCAGTCCGCGGAGGATCCGCAAAAATGTCTCAAAAAATCCACGTGCTCCGTGAAAATAAACATTTAAAAAAGCCGGCGAGGAAAAAACACCGGAGCCGTACAGTTGACCCTGAGGTAAAATTATGAATGCCGGTCGTCGGTACTAGGATCCGAATTGCCAGATTTTTTTTGTGCTCAATATTTTAGTGTGCTATATATTATAGTTGTGGGTATGACAGGCACACGTGAGGGCGCCCCGTCCCTGTCGCACTCGCGCTCGCGTCTCAGTTGCAGCTCTCAGGAGTCCGCAAGACATGTGCCTCAAGACGCCGGCTCTGCTCAGGCTGAGAGGTGCCGGACGCCGCTCGCGTCCACAACAATAATGCAATATAAAACGCCCGCGAGCCCGCCTTTAGAGCGACGCGGCAAAAACGAGACTGAAATTCAGATCTATAGTAGAAAAAGTGAACTACACCGAGCGAGGGGTACACTAACACATAAAATGAAAAAAATCACACGAACACCGACATCGACAACGGAGCTTAAAAAATCGGAGTGGGGGACCTTCTTCTTCATTCCGTCGTAAAGCGCCGTCCCGCTCTAACGGCGTGAGGCCGCACGCACACATAGCAGCGGTGGTTAAGCGAAAAAAATGTGTACACATTTTTTTATTATTCACGATTTTTATGTGTGTAAGTGGGCTCGGTGCGAGCGAGACGGGCGCCGAGAGTCCGACCAGCCCACGCGAGCGAGAGGGACGGCGCAAGTCGCCACGTGCTCGTCCCTCGGTATTAAATAATAATTAAAATGGCTACAAGACCGGCGATACGAGATATCGTTCGGTAGACGATTTTTTGGCTGAGCTTTTGCCTTTTTTGCTGGAGCTTTTTGCGGAATCGACGAATATGAGGTAACGTTCGAGGGACGTTGCGTCTTAGAAAAAAATCGCGAACCGATTGACACATAACAAACGAAATACGCGCAGAAAAAGTCGCGCCGGGGAAAAAAAACCAAGGACGCCGCGCGAAAAAGAAGTTATTGATTAAAACAGGGCTGTCATTGACCAGACGTAAATGAGGGTGCCTAATGGTATGCACGCCGGATCCGGTGGGGAGCGATCTCGCTTCAACACACTTTTTTCTTAATTCTTTGCTGCAAAAAGTTAATCATATCAATTAGGTAAAGAAATATTTTGACACTTTATACTAAGAATTTCTTATGACAAATGTTATATATAAATAATATACAACAGCTTGCTAACTCGTTGTATTTAACACAACTGGTGTACATACAGTAATACATATAGAGACTAAGACTGTTGGTTGGTTTTTCTTTCGTCGTAGATTTTACTAATAATTATACATTAACCGTAGTATTTGGAGATAGAAAAAGTTAAAGGAATTATGTTTATATAAGCTTATGTCTTAACACTATAAATAATAATTATTCAATTAAATCTAGCCTAAAAGAATATAATTACAAATTAAATTAGATGTCATAATTTCTTAAAATAAAACAAATAAATAATTACTCAAACAATGTCGCGGACCCTAAGTAGTATGCTGATAACACATCCTACGTATTGTTTATTTACATATTTATAAATGCATCGTGCGAGGTACAATAAACTATAGGAACAGAGCAGATGTCCGTCCGTCCGTCGCACAGGGGTCCAGCATTGTATGCATTGCTTTAGCTGATTATATAACATACAAACACATCGACAAAATTATTTTTAATCTATTACTTTAAAATGGATGACGTTAAAATCTTTTAAAGTAAAATTTAACTTATAAAAAGTTAGTCATGAAATTCTAAATTCTCATTTAATCGTTTTTAAGTTAGAGCTTTTTGACAATTATAAACTTTTTTATAGTTTTTAATTCTTATTTAATTGTTTTTTTTTAACTAAGGCTTAAATAAGTAGGCAAGAAGCCTAGATATAACCTTCAAATCTTAAATTTATTCATTTGGAATTAGGAATGCTAAGCTCATCTAATTCGGCATCTTAAAAGAAACTTCCAATTGAGAAATTTTTAAGCCTACGTCATTGTCCTAACCCGGGTGCAATTAACTAAATAATTAAATTTTAAACAACTTAAACACTTCGCGTTTACTTTTAACTATTTAACAGAATTGTTCTAAAGTGTTCGGCGACTTGAAATAACGAAACAAAAGAGGGTCACCATAAAATCGAACGTAAATAAAACATAATAAAAATGGCGGCGCTTAAGAAACTTTCAGTTTTAACTTGAAAAGCAATAAAATAGACTATAGAAATAATAGACCTAGCTACCTATATAATAATAAAATGAATTTCAATAGCTCCCGGGTCATTTTTTAAATGTTTTCATCATTTTAAATTATTGTTCCAATGAAAACGAAACAAAAATAATTTCAAGGTCGTATGAAACGAAAATTCATGGCAATTAATAAAAAAAGTAAAAGTTGTGTATTGTTTTCTTTTTAATGACCATTACATCTGTTTATGAAAACTAGGAATACTTTGCTTCTATTTAATGAATGCCATGTAAGTTTAGACCCTAAATTACTTATGAATAAGAACTATTTTGACTTGCTTTTATGTAGTGTTCTTACTCTTGCTTCTAAAGTCCACTTAAGAATTTTGAAGTTAATTATGTGTTAAGATCTACATATAAATATTTTGTCATTTAATAACGTAAACTCCTTTAGTCCGATGTTTTACAATGTCTGGCAGTCTAAACTAGCTCCTAATCTCGAGTTGAAATGTCTCTATTAAGTGTGAAAAAAAAAGTTTATAAAGTTAAATTACTGGCAGGATAAATATTTATTCGCGTGACAATAAAAAAAAATCGAATTTCGTTTTCTTTCGTCCTTGTAGAAGCACTTTCCTGCGTTTTATTCATGATGTATTAAACACTGGTCGCTTATAAGGGTTTGACAATCGAATGAATAGATTTTTTTTCAATTCGGTACAAGTACAGGTGACTCGGTACGGAAGCAGGATGTCGATTGGTACGACGATTAAGTATTGCGTTAACTCTTTCGTTTTCATTCAAATGCGATCAGGTGGAGTTTTATGTAAATATTATGATGCAAGTGTTGAAAAAATTTAACAATAAAATTAAAGAATATTCACGTTGTCAAAGAAGGATATTAGATTTAACGATAAAATTCATTATTTTTTGTGACTTAATTTTTATTCATAGGTTTGAGATATCTTTAGATGTAAGCATCATATTTGGTTTAAAATAATCTTTGTACCAGATGAAGTATCACCACTCCTTTTTGTATTTGACAATTTGTTGTAACATGAGGAGACATTTTTGGACATATATTGTCCGGGAATTGGTTACTGGACGCAGATTAAACTCGAGTTTAAGTGCTATTGATATGCGTCCGTTGGTAAATTCTTAAAATATATTATGTTACTAGCTCCCATCTAATTTTCTACGCTCCATCATCACAGAAACCTGTATTTTGGAAGACCGCCATTTTGATTTACACGAACTATTGCTCATCACTAAGATTATCTACGTGACTACGATTATAACGATATACATTGCAGTTTATTTTTCATTACTGCACTTGATAGTTTTATTATTTGATTGTGTAAGTACGAGCGAGCAATGTAATATGATTGTAATTAAGTGTACGTGTGTTGAATGATAAAAAAATATTTTATTGGTGGGTAGTAACGCGCGTGCAAGTGCCCGACCATCCATCACGCAAATGTTCGGAACCGGATTCTAGTTCGGAGCAAGTTTCGAGACTCAAAGCGATTTTGAATTGCGTCTCGGCCAGCTGATAATTTAAAAAAGCGTAATGTTTGAATCTAAGTCCACTCTGAATATACTTATGAAAAAAAAAGTTTTTATTGAACAATTTTTTTTTATTTTGACTATTAATTATGTTACATTTGGCTACTACAATGTATTTTTTCCTAAAGACAGTAAACAAATTTTGATAATTTGGTGAACTGTTCATGATTTAAAATATTTTGACTTAAGTATGTCGTAATTTTAACCTTAGCATTGCATTGAATTTGTTGTTCAGTTAGTATCATATTAAAAAATAAATTAAAAAAGTATTATAAACCATTTTACAATTTTTAATAACATACAACGTAGTACTATTTATTTAAGGCACATACGTTTTTTTACATAAAAAAACTTAAGAACTTTCTCTTTCAAAAAACACTTTTTGTTATTGTTTTTATAATTTTACAACCACTATAAACACTTCCATTGGCTACCTTACACAAATATGATTTCATTTTTTTCCGAAAAATAAAAAAAAATCATTCAGCATAAAAACGAAAGGGTGCTCCAAAGATCGGATATAACAAAACAAACAAAAGAGGTTTTTGAATTGGATAGAAAAACAAAACATTATGCACCTGGTTCTTTGATATTTTTTTTTACATTAAAATCGATCTAATGTTTTATAATCAAATAAGTTCCTCTTCCTGTCGGAAGATGTGGGCGCCTGGTTTTTTCTAGATTTAAAAAAATATCTATTAATGTTATACAAAATGCAACTCTAACACAACGACATAAGAACTACTATTTGCACTATGTAGATTAAACTTTTTTATTCTCTATTGAGGCTTTAGTATCGCAATGTGTTTCGTTTTTTAAGGTAGTGTTTATTTAGAAAAGATTGTTTTAAGCAGATGTTGTCTTATCTAGTGATAGCATGGAATTATACCATTTCTAATTTTATAGCCTTACGATAAATAAAAATTCCTAGTTGTAAAACTCCAAATTAGTAAAAAAATTATGTGTTAAACAAGCTTGAATAATTGACGCAAAAAATCTGAAAAAAATTAACGCAAAAAATCTGAAAAAAAATTTTTTTTTGGCATCAAATGCAAATTTTTTTTTTTTTAAATTTAGGTGGCCTTAATAAGATTTTTTTTATTGTTGGTATAACATAAGTAAGTGTCGGTGGCTTATGTGTTAAAGCACGTGATTTGTAGTCTACAGTTCCAGGGTTCGATTTCCGCCATGTACCAATGTGTTTTTCGATTCAACCTGTACTTATCTGCGATTACCAAGACAAAGTTTTTTCTTTTTTTTTGTATACGACCACATATACTAATAATATATTGCTGGCCAGTAACAAAACAAATAGAGCATGGAGGTCATAAATGCAACAATTCGACAGTTGAAAGCCACATGTTTAAAATGGTTTATAATCTCGGTTTGCATCTCCTAAGTGGTCATATTCAATTAACCGTCTGGGTATCCATTTTTGAAATCAACGGAGAAATCTAAAACTGCATCCGTAGTCCATCCATCGCGCAGCGTGACGCCAACACCATCTTTTGTATCCTCAGAACCGACCCTTGTTTTTTTTCCATCATCCCTTAAAATGTTCAAATTTCTTTACCTGCCCCCAACTCAATAATACGCTTAAATATAACTCAAATCTATATTTAACAAAAATGAACCCTATTCCAGTTACATAAAGTCCACATTACGTTGTAACATTAT